GGCGCGGGGCGCGCGCGCGCTCGGGGCCGCCATGGCGCGCTCGGTGCCGCTGCTGTGGGTGCTGCTGCCGGGGCTGGCGGCGCTGGAGCCGCTCAGCGTGGGGCTGGCCATCGGCGTGGCCTCGGCGCTCACCGGCTACCTGTCCCACCCCAGGTTCTACTGCAGCTACGTGGAGTGCTGCCCCCGCGCCGGGCAGCGCCTCAACGCCAGCGGTACGGCGGGGGCGGGGGGCTCGGCCGGTGGCCGGGCAGCGCGGCCCGGGGCGTGCGGGGACCGGCGGTGCTGAGCTGTGCCTCTCCCCGCAGCGCTGAAGGCGCAGCTGGACAGCCGGCTCTTCGGGCAGCACCTGGCCAAGGACGTGGTGCTGAAGGCGGTGCTGGGCTTCAGCAACAACCCCAGCCCCAAGAAGCCGCTGATGCTGTCGCTGCACGGCTGGGCCGGCACCGGCAAGAATTTCCTCAGCCAGATCCTGGCGGAGCAGGTGCACCCCGCCGGCCTGCGCAGCAAGTTCGTGCATCTCTTCCTGGCCACGCTGCACTTCCCGCACCACGACCAGGTGAAGCTGTACAAGGTGAGGAGGGGCAGGAGGTGGCCCCCAGTGGGTGCCTGGACCCTGCGCATCTCCCGCAGGTTCCCTCTGGGATGAGCTCTGTTGGTCGGAGCATGATGCTGATAATGCCGAGGGTGTGAGTGCAATCCCTGTATGGGCCGCTCACTTCAAGGTTGGGCTCGATGACCCTTGTGGGTCCCTTCTAAGTGAGAATATTCTGGTTCATATTCCTGACAGCTGGAGGTGTGCAGCTGGGAATTGCAAAGCTTAGGAGAGACAGAAGGGGAAGTTCATGCAGAAAGTAAAAGCGAGAAATCAAACCCGAGATAGTTTCCATTTCCTAGCGCTACCCTCTCACTGATGCCATCTGCTGATTCCCGTGCTCGCTGCAAGGAGAGTTTCTTGTTCCATCTGCATTATCCTGGCTGGCTGGGATGGAAGGAATCTTCTCCACAGCCCCCCGGGGCCCTGTTTTGCATTAATGTCTGAAACAGTGTTGATAATGTTGAGAACACAGAGGTGTTTTGGCTGTTACAGTAGTGCTTGCACAGCTTCAAAGTTTGCTAGTTTTTCCCACTCATATCGAGCTGGCTGGGGTGGGCAAGAGATGGGGAGGGGGCACAGCCTGGACAGCTGACCCCCAAAAGGATATTCCATACCATGCTGTCATGCTCAGTTGTAGAAATGTGGGTTGAAGAAGGAAAAAATGGCAGAGCATTGGTTTCCAAGGTGTTTGTTGCTCTAACTCTGGCTGGATGTTGGTCTGCATGTGTTGGGTGATACCATTTTCTTGGTTTTTTCCTCTTTCATTCACCAGCCAGTGAGTGTGGGATACTGAAATTTGATAGTGTGTCCCCAGAATCTGTCATATACAAGAATGTTGCAGTGCATCCAGTAAAGACCTTGTTTTTCAGTGGCTTTCAACCTCTTGTTCCAGGAGCAGCTGCAGAACTGGATCCGGGGCAATGTCAGTGCCTGTCCCTCCTCTGTCTTCATTTTTGATGAGATGGACAAAATGCATCCAGGTGTCATTGATGCCATCAAGCCCTTCTTAGACTATTATGAGGAGGTTGATGGGGTGTCCTACAGGAAAGCCATTTTCATCTTCCTCAGGTCTGTGGCACCAATTTCTGTCATTTTTGAGGTGCTGAATGAAACTGTGCAAAGCCAAAGTGCTGTAGTGGAGCAGGTCTGATGCTGTGCATGGCCACTGCAGCATCCTGAGCTCATGAAGCTGGCCCAGAGCACAGGACATAAGAGAGTTCACATTTTGGGATGGGTGTACCACTGCTGGACCTTGCTGGCATGGAATTAAATACCTTCAGAGCAGCTGGTCTGGTGCTGTTTGGGATTTGTGGCTCTGAGAGTGCTGATAGCACACCAGTGTTTTGCCCATTTCTGGATGATGTTTGCAAAGCTTCAAGGCTTTTCCCACAGCAGGCTGGGGTGGGCAGGAGGATGGGAGGGGACACAGCTGGGACAGCTGACCTGAAGTGCCCAGGAGGATATTTAATACTGTGGCATGCCATGCTCAGTAATAAAAACAGGGGTGGAGAAAAAAAGTGGGGTTTCATCTTTAAGGTGATGGTTCTTCAGCATTTGCCTGGGAGCTGGTCTGACTGTGGGGGTGGTGAGTGATTTCCTTGGGGTTTTTTCTCCTCTTTTTCTCCTCCTGTTAAACTATCTGTATCTTGACCCACAAGTCTTCAGACTTTTGTTCTTCCTATTTTCTCCTTCCATCCCACTGAGGCTGGAGGGAGTAAGCAAGTGGCTGTGTAAGTGCTTGGCTGCTGGCAACCCACCACACACTGATGGCTACTTAAAGAACTGGAGATTTTCCCCAAATTTTGGCTTACAGGATTCTTTTTGATCATTTGTTTGATATCAGGAAATTAGCAACTTGTGTAAAAGGCTGCAAAAGAAATTCTGGGTCACTTGTGTCTGTGTTTCACCACTGTATGTTTTTCTTTTATGATCAGCAATGCAGGTGGTGATTTAATTAACAAAGCAGCTCTTGACTTCTGGACAAGTGGCAAGCGCAGGGAAGATATTCAGCTGAAAGACCTGGAGCCCTTGCTCTCTGTAGGAGTCTTCAACAACAAGAATAGTAAGTCACTTAACCCCAAAAATGGGAAATTGATTCCTCAGTGGCTGAGACAAACTGCTCTGTGAATCCAGCCTGGCTTGTGGATCCTGTCATATGCAGGATCAAGTTTAGAAAAACTCCTTCTTATTTTTTTCCCTCCCAATTTATGCAGGTGGGCTGTGGCACAGCAGCATCATTGACAGGAACCTCATTGACTACTTTGTCCCTTTCCTGCCCCTGGAGCAAAGGCATGTGAAGATGTGTGTGAGGGCTGAAATGGCAGCCCGTGGCTATGCTGTGGATGAGAAGATTGTTCAGGAAGTGGCTGATGAGATGACCTACTTCCCCAAGGAGCAGAGGATCTACTCTGATAAAGGCTGCAAGACTGTACAGGCCAAGCTGGATATTCATGAAGACCTTGTGATGAGAGATACCAACACCAGGGGTTGATTTCCACTTTGGGTCTCCACAGCACTTCCAGAGCTTTTGGAAATCTGTGTATTTGCACTTACACTTTTTTACTGTTGCAGGGAGTATGGTGAAAATACCAGAGTGAGCTGTATGGGCTTTGTAGCTTGTGTGTTTGGTTGTTTTTGTTTTTTTTAATTTGGGTTTGGTTTTTTTTAACTTAACATAGAATTAGGACTTAGATTTTCTAGTGCCATCCTCTGCCATGGGCAGGGACACTTTCCATTGAATCAGGTCACTCATAGTCCCCTCAAGCCTGTTCATCTCTGAACTGGCTGGTACCCCAGTGTTGCCCCCTTTAGTTTTCTTTTAGTCTATAGAGAATTTCTAGTGTGACACACAGCACTGGATACAGCCTCTCCTGCTTTAGTCTTCCAAGTGCTGGGATTATAAAGTATTTAATTCCTCTTTCCACATAAACTAGATTGGAACAAAGGAAAGCAGAGGAATTTTTCCAGGTAGTTGTACTCCGTTCCATGTACACAGTCCTGTTCACATTCACAGGGAAATGGAGGGATGTGTGCTGTGTTCTGAACTCTGATCATGTCTGCAAGGGTGAACTCCTTGTGCATTGCAGTAAGAAGATGATATGGTAGAAATCTTCCTGTGCCTCAGCTGGGCACATCCTACATCTCCTAGTAATATGGGAAGTCATTATGAGCTCCTAGAAATCTCTTAGTAAATAATAGAGAGAGGGCAGGAGAAGAGGAAGTAAGAGCTTGCCCCATGTTTCTTTTGGGAAAAATAAACTGTTAAAGTATTTTTAAAGGGGCTAAGTAAATTTGTGACTCCAGGTCTTTCTAAACTGAGGGACCCATCTGAGAGATCTGTTACAACATAATAGGCCAGTCTTTTGTACTTAAGCAGAAAAAGCAATAATGAGAATTCAGCTGTTGCAGTTTGTCAGATTAATCTGTGTGGGCTCCTGGACCTGAAGTCTGTGAGGTCTTTAGTAGTCCCTCCCTGCTGCTCCTACTGGTCAAGGTGTGGATAATGCTGCTCTCACCTTGCTTGGAAGACACTTGAATTGAAGAAATTATTTTTAATAGTGTATTTTTATGCTGAAGTGTAAGCAACAGCAACAAGCCTCACTAGTTGGGTATGTTTTATAAAAGAATGCCTGTGTGAAAGGGTGAATGATGAGTTAAGAAGCTGGGAAAGATCAATTTAACCTTCACCCAGTGGGGAGGCTGGGTTTTAAACGCTGTTGCAAGCTTTAACTCTTGGTCTCCCATCGCCTGTGTATCGAATGTTGTAATGCCAGACAGAAGTGCCTTTCACTTCGGTGGTTGTACTGTGGTTTTAAATTGGTACAAGGGAGGGGGCTGTTTTTATGCTGCATCATCTATTCCCTCACTTGTTCTTAAACTTCCTTTAAGAGGTAATGCTAATTATACGTCTCATTACAATGATGTTAATTCAAATTACAACAGAGAGTTTAGCGCTCATGTTAAACTCTAAATTAAAAGTGTTGATTGCCTTTTACAGCCCCACTGGAGTTTGTCAAACATTGGCAAACTGTTCACAGTGATGCAATCTCCAGAGCCAAACACTAGCAAGCCATTAACCTTGGGACATTGGACTGTCACTTTTCAGTGTGATGTTTTCCCTCCTAACTGATTTATTCGTAGTTGTATATGCTGCATCCAGTTTCACTTCAAAAAGAAAATATTTGTGCTATTTCAAAACACTAAATACTACTGTACTGCAGTTGGAATAAATCCTAAGTGACTTCTTCTCTCTTGGTTAATCATTTTCAGATACAGGAAAGTACCAGAAAGCTGCACTGCACGTTTCTGTTATACTTCCTTTGTGAGTGTGGGGCAGCTGTTGGCAGCAGCTCACACCTCCCTGAAGGGTCAGTTGTGACTCATTGTGCTCTGAGGAGGCACCAGGGAAGGGCAGGGAGCTGCCTGGGAAGCACAGGCTCTGCTGCTCACTTGGACTTCACTCCTGGGACAGCTCAGCTGCACACCAGGCTCTGGGGCCAGGCTGCTCTGGCTGGCAGGACAGCAGCACTTCCTATTTCAGGATTTAAACCACAGCCTCTGATTTTATCAGCAGTATGAGATCTCAGAACACTCCCTGCAGAAAGCTGAACGAAAGAAGCAGCTGCTTGTGCTGGACACTGGCAAGAACAGAATTCACTCTTGGGACTGCTCAGCTCCTCTCAGCTGGCCAATGGACTGTTTCTCTGGGCAGCAAACCTTTCTCTCATGACATTTGCCTTTAAGTTGTCTGATCCAGCCTTAAATGGCCTATTAAATAATGGCCAAAATTACCCAGTCAGAGCAAGGAGTGAGGACCTTAGCTCTGAAACCATACAGGGGAGGATAATAACAGGATCAGAAGGCTCAAACCTGGGAGTGATTTCAGGCACAGCTCTGTTTTACCCAGATGGAGCTGCTCCTGGCCAGGTCTGCAAAACAGAAGAGATTAAACAGAGGCAGTCTCCACCCTTTCCACATCATTCCTGCTCTCCAGAGGAAGCTCCCATCTACCCTGGGCCATTCAGGGCTGTGAGAAATACTGACCAGCAATGGCTATCAAATACTTGTATTGATGCTGCACTAAGATAGTTCTGGAAGAGCCACAAGACAGCCTGGTTGTACTGATTCTCTTGGTACCACACCACAGTACAAGTTTATCATTACATCTGCTTTTTCCCATTAGCCAGTTACTTGCTATAATAATAATCATAATCAGGAAGTCAAAGAAACAGATAAATAGCTGAGTTCAAAGCACTCATTTGCTGACAATTAGTAGGATTGATAATTAGCATAGCACACACCTTCAGAGCAAGTGGACAGTTGGAGCCTCACTGGCCCTTTTTTTTCCCCTTGCAGAGAAAACTCCAAGATGCTGCCACTGAAAATGTGGGTGGCTTCAAACAGAGCCTGCAGTGTTCAGGCAGTGGTACCACAGTGGGAGGATGTGAGCAGCAGGGTTTAACTGGTCTCTACAAGACAAGTTCATCCTTACTGAGCACACATGCATCCAGGAAATCTGCCTCTACCAAAACCACATGGCTGTAATTAGTATAAACAGTCCAGAAGTGCAGTTTCCATTCCAAGCTTGATTTGTTTCCCCAGATAGCAGAGTCACATCTCCTCCTATCTCTGCCCTTTGAACTGCAGAAGCAGAACCTGTACTCAAGCACAGCTGGAACAGCCAGGAATGCAGTGTGCTCTTCCTCAACATGGAGGAAATTAGTGCAAAATTAATATCAGATCACTGAATGCAAAGAACACCATAAAGTAGCTAAGAAATACATTTCTGATGAGAAAAGTTTATTTTGAACAGCAACTGGAATGTAAAAAGCCTCTGCAGTGCTCACATTCAGAAACAAGTCTGACACCCTTCACAGCAATTTCAGTGGACACATTTTATGGTTTTTTTCTTTTTAAATGCCTTTAGGTTGCCTCCATCCCTGCCTCAAAGGCACACAGTATGGTGAGAAGATGAAAAAGGGAAAACCTTGCAAGCTGACCCCTGAATTCAACATATAAGTGAAGAAGAGAAACCTCTTTTCAATCTCCATGGTGTAAAATTTAATCTGTACACATTTCCCATGACGTTGCAGCTTTTCCACGAAGCTGACTCACCACTCCCAGAGCACAGTTCTCCCTCCTGACATCACTCCTGGGAGAGCAACATAAAGACTAACCTAAACTAGGAACTAAGTACACCAGTGTGGCATTTAAGGATTTTAACTCACTTCCTTGTGATATTAAGTCTGCTCTTGGAGCACTATTCACAACAAAGAGTTTTATATTCTTGGTTTGACACACGGGAAATGTTTTGAAAAAGACAATGGCACTGTATGCCCAGATTTTTAAATTCCAGAATCCCCCGACAACATAGAGTTTTATACTCTTGGTTTGACACATAGGAGGCTAAATTATACATCAGTTTTGAAAAAGACAATGGCACTGTATGCCCAGATTTTTAAATTCCAGAATCCCCCCTTATCTTTACTGGGCCCAAGCTGTTGAAGGCAAAAAGACACATGTTCTATTTTTAATGCATATTCCCACACAGGACCAATGAAGGCTTTCAGAGACACAGGAACTTTGATTAAAATTCTCAATATTGTCTAGAGATCATCCACATCAGAGCAAAATCAAATTAAAATCAGGTTATAGTCTCAGTCCTTCTATACCTGTCAAGAATCTGCCAGAGGGTTCCGATGATCACCACATGATTCAAGAGTCTTGAGCCCTGCCAGATCCAGGAATTCCCAAAGCAGTTCCTTCTTACCTTCAGAGCACAGGGCTGAAGCACTCTGGAGCTGTGATTCTGACAAAAATGCAGAGGCACTGCTGCTTATTTACACACCAGTTAAAAAATAGTGTTCCTTTCTTTAAAAAGTACTTAAAAATGAAATGTCTCAGGTCCCCCACTTTGTGATTAAGTTAAATTTGCTTCTTTGCAGGTCGTAGCAATAAAGCATTAGAAGTCATAATAATAATCCAGCTTTGCATCCACAGTTTTACATCCTTTATCTGAATAGATTCTCTCCTCTCTGGGGAAGTAGGTCATCTCATCAGCTATCCTGCTCACAATGTCTTCATCCACAGCGTAGCCACGAGACTCAATCTCAACCCTGACACACATCTTCACATGTTTGTATTCCAGAGGCAGGAAAGGAATGAAGTAGTCAATGAGGTTTCTGTCAATCAAGGTGCTGTGCCAAAATCCACCTGCAAAGGGAAAGAGGTTTGTTAGTATTTCTCTAGTTAAACACTACCACGGGTTGAATGGGAGCAAGGGGCAGATCACTGCTAAGAATTCTCCTAGGATTTTAGGCACTATAATGCACAAGTCAATACAAGCCCCCTCTCAGGTTACTTTGTGCATAAAATTTTGGACAGACACATAAATGTGGTCCTTTAGGCTGAATGAATGAATTTTGACTGTGCCTGAGCCTTGCTCTCCAGGTGCTGGTCTCATACCTTTCCCTCTCTCACCTAGGGATTGTCTCTCTTATCAGCTCTCCCAGACCAGATTTCTTATTCCTTTTTTTGGAGCTTGTATCTAAACTTTTTAAGAAGTACAGTGAGTTTGCATCCACTGCTAAATTTACCCCTTTTCACCAGAAGTTCTGTGTGAGGAAAGCTGTGAAGCACTTCCCCCAAAATGTGGAGCAAACAGGCTGGTGGCCAAGGTGCACACTGAGCTCCTGAATCCTCACCCATCCTGGGAGCCAACTGCAGGCCCCAAAACTGCATTTTTGCTCCCCACAAGCCAAAAACTGGAGGCCACATCAAGAAGAAACCATAGCTTATAAAAATTAAGCTAAATGCAGCCCATCCCTTTTGTGTAACTTTCACCACCTCAAAACCAATCCCAGCTTTACTCACTATTTTTGTTGTTGAAGACAGACACAGAGAGTGCATTTTGGATATCTGTGAGCTGGATATCTTCCCTTCTCCTCCCATTTCTCCAGAAATCTAGTGCTACCTCTGTTATCTTTTCAGCTCCTGCATTGCTAAGTTAAGAGAAAACAGAGATTGTAGCTGGGGGTAGTTTTAAAAGTTGAAGTTATGAAATAAAAGCATGGAGTGTACAGAACAGCAACCCTGAGAAGCCACTGTTTACCTGAGGAAGATGAAGATGGCTTGTCTGTAGGACACCCCATCCAGCAGCTCATAGTAGTCCAGGAAGGGCTTGATTGAGTCAATGAGCCCTGCGTGCATTTTATCCATTTCATCAAAAATGAAGAGTGAGCGGGGACAGGCGCTCACGTTTCCCCGAATCCACGACTGCAGCTGGTCCTGAGTGCCACAAAAGTGAAAGAGTTTGTGTTGAAAAGACAGAAAAAAAATAGCACTTTCTGTTTATGGAACCATGTCCTTGTTTCAGTGGTGTCATTTTAACAGCTTTGGCTTCTTGACTAAAACATAGTTACAAGCTGTAAATGAAACCTCAACAAAACCTCGTGCTGGTTCTGAAAAATTTTAAGACACCAAGAGACAGGATGGGACAACCAGGAATACTCCTAGATATTCCTATGAAAAGCAAAAATGAAAGTGCACAGTAGGACAAAAAATGGGTCCCACCAAGGAACAGCCACACAAAGCCAAGCTCTGACAAGTCAGATGATGACTTTTGGCAGCACTTTGGTCTAAACAACCTTAATATAAGCAATATTAAATCTGCTACCTGGCAGCACCAGTGAGAAATTGCACCTGCCATCACTGGCAGAAGGAGAAACAAAATTAAACTGTGTTTTAATCAATCAGAAGTTAAATGAAGACAATTACAAGTCCTTCTTACAACACTGCTGACCAGAAAGGCTAATGCTTTATTGCATTGAAAGAGTCTCTCACTTGAGCATTGCATTTTCACCTTGAGTACTGCATTCAAGATCAATAATGCATTAACTGGGGGAAGAGGGTTGGTGTGCTGGTAGATGAATGAGAAATAACTGTTCTGACTATTTTCAGTGACTCATCACTTTTTAATTTATTCTACTCAGTCCCTGAACTGCAGGTGTACTGGGGATAAGCAGCAAGAGTTCCTCCTGCTGCCTCAGGCAGCAAATTTCCCCAGTGTATTCACCTCACAAATGCAGAAAAACATCATTACATTTCAAAATGGCTCAGTTAAAAGGAGGGGGGAAATAAGTTGTAAAAGAGAAAATGTCTATTTCCTCCATTTGGAAATCAGGTTTGTAGAGCATCCTGTTCCCATTTTTAACACATACAAACTGACTATCAACATGCAGTACCACAAGACAGTGGTACTCATTCAAACTGTGCAGTGAACAAAGTCAGAACAAAAAAAAAACCCCATAAAACACATCTCAGCCACTGCTCCATGCTATCTCCCTGCCTACAGAACTGACAACTCCAAATACATTTACCTGTACCTTTCTGACAGCAGAGTATTCTGTGATTTTGCTTTACAGCTTGGAAATGGATCCATAGAAAACTAAATAACCTGCTCAGTGTGCAGTGGAATAGACAGTGATGCCTCAGGGAGCCAGTGTGAGCTTGCCATGGTGCCTGACAAACCTGGGGCTGTTTCCCAGAGTCATGAACTATTTGGTTTTTTTGCAGTGCCTACCAACACATTACCTAACTAGGAATTGTGTTTATCCTTAAGTCAGTCCCATCTCTAAGCAAAATGAAGAATGACAATTAAACTGTATCACTGTTCCCTAAGAGAGGCTCAAAACACACACAAAAAACTTCACATTCACGGGAAAGGTAATCCTGAGGGATGCTAGAATCTACAGGTCTGTGCAGAAGATCACAAATCTGGCACAGCATACATGTTAGTATATAAAACAACATCTAGGTCTGATGACTGATCGTGCCGTGACATTTATAATTCATTGCACACAGCTCATTCTTACCTTGTAGAGATTGATGCTGTGAGCATGAGGAAAGTGTAAAGTTGCCACGAACTGATGGACATATTTACTCTGCAGACCTCTTTTATAAATGCTTTCGGCGACGATCTTACTGACAAAGTTTTTGCCCGTTCCAGTCCAGCCGTGCAAGGAAAGCGCGAGAGGCTTTTTGGCGTTGGTATTGTTCAAGAAGCCTCTCACGGCTTTTACAACCACCTTGCTCACCAAGTGCTGCCCGAACAGCTTCTTGTCCAAGTTCTCCCGCAGAGCTGCATGGAGAGAGCACACGGTCAGCGGCGGGCAGCGGGCTCACCCCGCCCGCGGCGGCGGCCGCCAGCCCCGGGCAGGGGCCGGGCTGGACCGGCGGCCCCCGGCAAGGCCCCGCGGGCTCCGCCCGGCTCCCGGCGCCCTCCCGCCACCTCCCCTCCGCCCATCCCGGCCCCGCACCGGCGGCGGCGCGCGGGTCGTGCCGCTGCAGGCAGCACTCCCTGAAGTAGCAGTAGAGCCGCGGGTAGGAGATGAAGCCGGTGAGGGCCGAGGCGGCGGCGCCCGCGATGGCGAGTCCCACGCTGATGGGCTCCACGGCGCCGGCCGGCGTGAGGAGTGGCAGCAGCACCAACGCCAGGGCCGCCCGCAGCGTGCCCCGCCGCAGCTTCATCGCCCGCCCGGCCCCGCCGCCCGGCCGCCGCTTCCGCCCCTCAGCGCCGCTTCCGCCGCCGCCATGGCGGGTGCGGGGGGAGGCGGGGCCGGCGCTGAGGGGCCGCCGCCATGTTGGGGCGGGAACGGGCGGGGCCGGCGCTGAGGGCTGAGGGGCCGCCGCCATGTTGGGGCGGGAACGGGCGGGGCCGGCGCTGAGGGCTGAGGGGCCGCCGCCATGTTGGGGCGGGCACCCGCTGCTGAGGGGGGCGGACTGCGGCCTCGCGCAGTGCTGTTATTAAATATTGCATTCTGTGGCCGTGTCGCCCGGTGTTAGAATAGAGGAATCAAAGAATCGGCATGGTTAGAAAGACTTTAAGATCATCATGGCCAACCAGCACTGCCACTGTAACCCCTCAACCACTAAAAGCCACACCACGCAGTGCCGCACCCTGAAGCCTCCATCAATGGTGCTCCACCACCTCCCTGCGTAGCCTATTCCAAAGCCTGACCACCCAAACAGTGAAAAATTTTGTTTCTAATATCGAATCCAAATAAATCTCCCCCGTCTCAGCTTAAGGCAATCTGTTCAAGGGATCTTCCACTGACGTGCACAGGGTACAAACTCAGGGGCAAACTCACCCCTGGCCTGGCATGGAAATTCTTCCCCTTCTGAGACTGTCCCTTCCCACCCTGGAGTTGTCAATTTTGAGCAATGGGACAATCTGGCCATCAGCACCACCAAAACCCACAAACCAGGAAAAACCCATCAGCATGAATTCCAGAAAAAAAAATGCTACAATAACTTAAAAAACCACTTTTACTATTTTCAAGTTACAAATTTTCACTACAAGCACCCACACTGCACTTCTGGGGAAGACATGTGGACAAGAAGACAAGATCCCAAGACCTTTACATTTACAAAGCAAACAGCATTGCTGCTTTTAAAGGATCTCTTTTTTTTTAGTATTAAGATGGTGAAAAGAAAAATCTATAAAAGCCACTTAGTTATCTCACTACAAATTGCCAAATGAAAGCTCATTTTCCATTAAAAAACTTCATTTATAAGACTGTATTTATATACAAAGTTACACGAACCAAAGAGTTCACAATCACCTGCAAACTGATTCACTACAAGATCACGCAGGAAGAGCTTTGTAGGTAACATCTGAAGGTAGTGACTCTTCCCAACATCCATCGCAGGGCATTGACACAAAATCCCTTACTGGTGGAAAATAGGAAAAACTCCAGAGACTTCAGTCCACATTCATCAGTATCGCCTGTTCATCTTCTTGAACTTCTCATAGTGATAATCATCCGTGGCTTTTTCATTGAGGGGACGTTTGCGATTTGGAGGAGACCCTTCAAAAGAAAGAGGAGACACTTTAATATCCTGTTCCTTTCACAGGAGACATTTCCTGAACTCTGCCACCTCCCTCAGACAGTCCCTCACTATCTGAGGTTATTGCCTTACACCTTTGCTATTCCACCAAACCTTTGTCAGGTAGCTTTGGCAACACTTCAGTTGTGACCTTCACCGCTCCACCCCTGAGCTGGAGGATGGAGGTCTGTGTCTACAGACATCATCCAGTGTCAGGTGTGATCTAGAGGTGCACCAGCTCTTGGACTTGGATTGCTCCACTCCCACCACCTCAGGACACTCAGACTGTTCTCTGCACAGGACCCCTGAAGAGTTTCAGTGTCCCCTCACAACCACTCAGGTGTGGAACTTACGCTCAGGCTCTGGCCTCTCCGTGTCCCCCACCCTCAGCGGCCGCGGCTTTGGCTCCTCCTTGTTCCTTCGCACTGGCGCATTCAGCTCCTCATGATAAACTGCAAGAAACAAAACCTCAGGTAAGGAATATTATCTGCAGCACTCTTATCCACATGGATACATCTCTATGGCCTTTGCTGCAAGTCATCTTTACCAGAAAGAACAGACACTCAGAACCACCCTTCTTGGAGTTGGTTTCTGTGGTTAATAAGGCAAGATGGGGCAGAGCAAATTTCAACAGCACTATTTCAAGTGGCCCAAACACTCCTCACTTCCATCAAAACACACCAACCTGATTCCCATCACCCCTGTAAGCATGGAAGGACACAGCCAAAGGCTGTCCTTCCTTTAGAAGTCTGCAGCATCAGAGCATCACACAGAACTTAAATTCCCATCTCCTGTCCAGTAAGGTCTGTGTTTGCTTGGCCACCCTGTCTGCTCTGGCAGCCTGCAAACTGGAGTCTCTCCATCACACACCATCATTTCCAGCACACAAGGCACAGCTTAAAGGAAACATCTTGAAATTTATGAGGCAGCGTCAGCTGGGAGTTCAGAAAGCCCAGCCATGAGAAATACATCCCTCTCCTTGCTGATGGGCAGAAGGAAAAAACAAGGCCAGATAGGGTCTGAGCATCCCAGGAAAAGCAATCCTGACACACTGATACATGGCTACATAATTTCTCTGTCCCAGCTGGGTCAGCAGGGACACTCAAGACTTACATCTATTGTGCTGGACATAATTAACAGCCATGTTGGTGGGAACAAAGGAAGTTTCACTGTCTTTCTTTTTGTTCTGCTGCTCTGCCAGCAGCTTGGCCTTGGCCTCTTCAGTTGAGATGATGTTTTTTATTTTTGCACTAGAAGAAAAAAAAATACTCGTAGTTAGAAAGGACGGCAGGCCCAGAAGTGCTAAGTGCATGGGATTGGAGGACAGTAACAGCACTGCTGTGGCACCTGGTGCAGTTTTGGAGAGAGGAGGCAGTGCTCCAGAAACAGACACTTTGTTTCAAAGGCAAAATGGAAGCTCCTATCTTGGTGCATGGCTTCAGTGCAGGACACAAAGGGGTCCTGCAGAAAGCTGCTGGGGTCAGGTCACAGAGGAGCCTTTTCCCAGCAGTCACAGCATGGAGCTGCACCGAGCCCCAGGGCTGGGCAGCAGCAACCCAGAACAAGGCTCCATCCCACCCCATCCAACCTGGGGATGTGCAACCCAGGCACGGTGCTGCTCATGCTGCCAGGGCTGCCAGCACCCACAGAGCTGTGGAACGTACTCGATCCCCAGGTCCACTTCAGGAATGCCGCTCAGCATCTGGTTGGACAACATCTCCTCAGTCTTCTTGGCAGAGGAGACACGGATGTTCTCTGGCAGCTCGTACAGGGAGTCCTCAGCATTCTTAAGCTTCACCTTCTGCTCCTCGTTCTCCACAATTCCCTTTCTCTTCTTCAGCTCAGTCTCAATGTACTTCATCCTAAACAGCAGCACACAAAGGACAGTGTCACCATCGTATTTTCTGGAAAAATCCCTTTGCCAGGATTTCTGCTCCTGGGAAGCTGAGAAGCCTCAGAGAAAAAGGAAAACAATATTATCTCATTTGTTTCTCCTGTGTTTTGCTGCTTTGGAATGTGGTTTGGAGATTGTTCATCCAGCAGGGGGTTTCATGTGAATTGTTTTTACTTAATGACCAATCACAGCCAAACTGTGTTGAGAATCTCAGGAGAGTCACGAGTTTTTGATTAGTATCTCTCTAGCTTCCTGCCAGTATCCTTTCTGTATTCTTTACTATAGTTTAGTATAGTTTCAGTTAAGCATTCTTTAATATTATATAGATAATAAAATAATAAATTAGCCTTCTAAGAACGTGCAGTCAGATTCATAATTTCCTTCCTTTGTCGTGGTCTCAGAAAATACCTCAGGACAGGGCATTTAATTCTGTTCCTGTACTTCTGTTCCAGCACTGCTGGAGCACAGCTGCATCCCTGTCCTGATAGCTGGGAGAGAGGAAAGAATAATCTCTCCAAAAGCACTCAGCTAATATTAGCGGCAAGAATTAATTGTCCAAGAAACACTCAGATCCTCCAAGGTCTTATCAGCCAGCAGGGAAGGCTCCCAGTGGGATTTAGTGCCAAGCTGGCTGGCTGGCACCTCCTAGCTTTGTCCATGAAAAAGCTTCTCAACTCCAGGAGGCAGGAAGTAAAAGGGCAAGGGAAACTTTCAGTGAGAACTGGGAAGATTTCCTGGGACTACTCAGAATCCACAACATAAAAAAAAAAAAAGGGTGATGATTCCACACCAGAGACACAACACAGCACGACTCACATGTCAGCATCTTCATCCCTCCTGTTGGTTTCTGCTGAGAAGGAAGTTCCCAAGTTCAGATCTTCCTCTTCATTAATCCTAAGAGGAAACCACAATGTTTACAGGTTTTGGTGTGGTTTTTTTTTGTGTCTGTTTGGGTTTTTTGGGAGAGGTGTGTGTGGTGGGTTTTTTTAAAAGTAATTTAACAAGTTAGAGCAAAAGTAACTGGTCAGACTGACACAACCTCTGATTAATTAATTACCAGTTGCCATTAAATACTAGTCCAGGGACAGATTTTCAGAGCTCACATGCATTTACCTGTCCTTGCCTCTTTCTTTCAGCTTCTTCATGTCCACCATCCCCCCAGATTTTATCTTAAATGGGTCATCCTGTAAAACAAGAAATAAAAACCCCTGAAGCTTCCCTTTAGTTTAATGCCAGTTTTCAAAATCTGGATAAAACCACAGGAAGCATTTAGGAATTGAGCTGTGACACCAGCCTGCCCCAGGCTGCACTCACAGTCAGTGCTCTCACACCACCACACCTGAGCCCCGAGGTGGTGGAACTGTCCAGCACTTACCACAAGGGTGGCTTCTTCCTGCAGCTTCTCTCCCACCAGCAGAGCTACAGCACTGGCCAGGCAGATCAAGAAAGAAGATAAAATTCAGCAGAAGGAAACACAGTACCAACAACACTGCACTGCTTTATCTCTCTCTAAGTTTCCCTGTCTTTTCCATCCTTAGGCCTTAACACAGAAACTCCTCTGCCAGGAACATAATTTTGGCAGTGTCTGACATAATGGTTTGTACTGGAATGAGGCAGATGACAGGAGAGAAAGTGAGTGTCACATCCCAGCCCTGCACAAAACTCGATTTCCCCTCCCCAGTGCCACATCCCTTACCTCACCCCATTGGGCCGCTTTCTGAGGCTCTGAACTTCTTTGGCCTCCTCAAGTTTTAACCTAAAGAAGAAAATACATTTGACTTGGTACTTGATGCTTTGGTTTTAATTAGTCCCTTTGATTTTCTGCATTTAGAATTTTCTATTCAATGTTGCCTTAAACCTCTGCATATCAGCATCCACTTTTTGGGTTCAAGTTTAATACATATTTTCTATTTATTTAAGCAATCCCACGCATTTGAGCAACCAGAAAAAAACTAAAAGCAAGACACCTGCTGGATTTGTTCCTCACTGATACCTTCCCTGAGCTGAGGAAGGCAGCACCAAACACTGAAAGGCGTGAAGAAGAAACCAGTTTGGGAAGGACGAGCCAAAATACATCCAGACATGAGAGAAGAAAGTTGGTGAATTGAAATGAAGAGTTTCTCCCTAAACTGAGAGGAATCCGTAACTTCTGGGGTCACGTAAGGCTGTGACGCACGCTGTGACGTCACTCCACAACACAGCGGTTCAGCATGGCAATGTGACGTGACAGCACAGCCGTACGTGACGATGTGACACGACACGATGTGGTGACCCCGGGACACCGCGGGGCCACAGCCCGCACGGGCCCCGGCCCGGCCCGCCCCTCGGCCGCCGTCGGGGTTCCCGCTGCGCCCGGCCCCGTTCCCGCCGGCGCCCGACCCACCTGACCTCCTCGGCGAGCTGCTCGTCCTCCTCCTCCTCGTCCTCGTCCTCCCTGCGCCGCCGGAAGGATTTCTGCCCCGGCATCGCTCCGGCCGCCGCGCCTCGGCCGCCTCACCGCGGCTTCCCTCCCGCTGCCGCGGCGCGCGGCGATGACGCCGCAACCCCGCGACGAGGCCGGGGGACTCCGCCCCTGTGCCCGCACCTCGGCCGCCTCACCGCCGCGGGGCCGGCGAGCTCCGAGCCCGGCAGCGCTCCGAGCCCGCCCGGGCCCGGCCGGCAGCCCTCGCGCCACCCCCTCACCCCGGGCCACGCGCTGTCTTCTCTGGGAAGCCCTCGTGTAAGTCACGGGGCTCGTTCTGTTCTCGCTGCAATCCCCGCAGCGCAGCCGCCGCCGGTGGCCGGTGCCTGTCAGGGGCGCCGTGGGGAGCGCGGGTCGCACAGCCGGGTTTGCAGCCCAGCCCTCGGGCGGGACGCGGCTCCTCCAGGCCCGCTGCCCCAGGCGCCGAGCCGCTCTGCTGGGTCGCTCTGTCCGCCCCTCACAGCAGCGTTCCTGCGGGCCGAGCCCCGGCCCCGCGGGGTCAGCGCCGCCGCCGCCTCCGCTCGGTCCCGCCCCGCCCNGGGCCGGGCGGAGGGAGGGCGGGCGGGCCGGGGATGATGCAGCAGCAGCAGCAGCAGCAGCCGCGGGGGCTCCGGGCCAGTGCTGCCGGGCCCCGGCCCTGGGGCGGCCCTGCACCCCCCGGGCCCGCTGCCGACCCCGGAGCGGGACCTTGCGGCTTCAGGCTGTTTGTGTCCAGCCCCGCTGACCGGCAGCTGCAGCGTCTGGCGGGAGGGGAGTTGTGTTCTGTGGGTCTGCTGCGCTTGAGGAATGACATAGCCGGCAAGGAGGGGTTTCCCGCAGGTGGTTTGTGCGTGAAAGCTAAATCTCTAGGTGATCGTTGTGTTGTGACCTCCCAGAATGAGTGTTCAGTCCTGCTCTCCTTTGCACATAAACTTCCTGCTTTTCCCATACCTGATGCAGCTGTGAGCCAGCAGCACCTGCTTTCTGCTTCTGCCTTGTCACTAGGGCAGTTTGGTAAATATTTCTTTCTTCAGGATCTCAAGTATAAAATGCCTCAGAGCACAACTGCAGATACTTCTTTCTCTTGGTAGGTTATGCAAGACCAGACCTGGTAGTTGTTTTGTAGCTGAACAGTGCAAAGATTTCTTTCATTTGTGCAGTTTCTCTGAAGAATGTCAGCCTGCGAGGATCTGAAACTCTTGACAGCTGGCTCTAGCTTTGGTACAAAACCACACAGTTGTTTTCAGAAAAAAAAACCAAAAACCCAACCAACAAAACCCTAGAAATGTGTTCTGTGGAAGGCAGAGACGCTGGGTTTGGCAGCAGTTGCAGCGACTGAAAGTAGGTTGCAGCTACGGAGGAATTGTTCTGACATGTTCGTGTGCTGTCCTCCCTCAGTGGTGCTTGGGAGAGACAGGCTGAAGGACTTGTTCTAGGGTGACTTCTTTTCCCATCATGCACAGTACATTTTGACAAGCACAGTTCAGCTCTCTGGCAGTGCTTTTATCAAATTCCTGCTTTCCTGAGCAGAATTAGGGCTGTGTGTGCCAGCTGTAGCTCTTAGGGCAGAGTCGTGGGAAGGCAGAAGTTGAATATTTCCTTCTGAACAGAACAGTCACAAACCTTATTCTGGTGTGTGTGGTCAGGGCTGAGAGGCAAAAATGAGGTTTTCCCTGCACTGTTCAGAAAGGGAAGCACTGTGAGGGAAGATCAGCACCCCAGTGCTGGAGAGTTTGGTTTGGATTTTGAGGAGAGGGGTGGTCCCACGGAATGCTCTGAAACCATCCACATCCAGAAGACTCTACTTAACAAAGTGTGCTTCAAAACCAGTTCCCAGTTAGCTTAAGCTGGTGAAGATATGAGGCCTGCAATTCATTTTAAACCAGTATTTTGTTCATTAGATTTTCTGCAGACCATCTGGGAGAGAGATAAGAAATCAAGGATGGTGAAATAGCAAATGTAGCATTGATTTTTTTTTTTTTTTAAGTTGGACAGCTGATGCATTTGGGGAAAGGGGTCTGTTTTGGTGAAGGAACTCAGAGCCTGAAATGTCTCAGTTTTATATGTTAGTCAAAGCTACTGTGCTCTTGTCATTTGTATTTTAAATCAATATTGGTTACACAGTGCTATGTTCCTTCTCTGTGAAGCTGCATGAAATTGCTCTGTTGTTTGTTAAGCCTCTCTTCACAGGTTACTGAGATCCAGGTCAGCACCCCTGTGGTGTTTTCTACCATGCACATATGATTTCTTCTCCCTTTGCTCCTCCCATCAGTTTACTGAGTTCCAAATAACTGGGAAAACATTGTAAAATTAACTTTGAGGTTTATCTTCTGCCAAGACAAGGTGCTAGGCAAGCTTTTCCACTCCCAAGATAAGTGTTACTGATATAAACTACTCGTTTATAATTTTCTTTTCTCCCTCCTGTCAGTGATTCAGACCAGATAACACTGGGAATTGTTTCAAATGTCCTCAAAATGTGAAAAAAACCAGAGTGCAGCAGCCATGCAGCTGCTGGAGTCATTAACATCGAGTTCATCAGATTTTTCCACTTCTTTATTGCAATGATGTGGGCTCTTCACATCTGCTTCATTTCCAGCCAACTGTAATATTTTGGATCCTTGTCTGTGCTATTAATATCACTTATCTTCTTTTCTACTTTTTTAGCAGCCATGAGCAAGGTTATTTAAACTATGCTTAAGAAACACAAACTCTTTTCATTTTTTTAAAACTGCATGTTACTGAGACATATTTGAAGTGTTTTACATACCCATGGACCACCATAAAAGTGTTTATTGTGTTCATAAGCTATGAAATCATCTGTTTTTGTGGTGCTTGGATGGAGAGCTGGGTGGAACTGTTGTTTTGTCCTGACTTTCAGTTATGTGGCTCACACTGTTAAAAATCTGCCCATGAAATGGTAAATTCCTCAGAGACTGGAGCCTGCTTATCAGTGTTACAGTTCATTTAAGTCTATTTCCCTCTTGCCCAGCTTCATTTAGAACTAATCATATTTTTAGTGTTTGATGAAGTGGTGTAACAAGGAAATGCTGGATTCAGATCAGCACAGTTGGGTGCACGAAGCTCATAGACACCACAGGCTAAGTGCTGGTCATGGGCTGCAGCACCTTTCCCTTTTCATCAGAGTTTCATGCAAATGAGCTAATTAGATTTGTATCTGTGCAGCTGAAGCTGTGCCTGTGTGCTGAGCACCTCCCAGCATTTCTGAAGGCACATTCCATGATATGGATTATTAGCTTTATTTGTCTCTGTCTCCTCCCCATGGCTTTGCTCCTTCCCTACAATGCAGACACTCAGCAGTGGGGCCAGACTGTGCCAGGTTTGTTCCAATCTCTGAACCTTAAAGATATCTATGGAACTCTAATATGCAAAACATGCCCAGGTATCTTCTTACAATCTGACTTGTAGTGAAAGGAGCCATCCTTTTTTGTCCTAGGAAACCCTCCTCACATGAGTGTTGGTGAAAATGGGGGACACAAGGGACATCTGTCCCCACCTGGATTCCATAGGAGAGGTGACCAGGGATGATCTGCTGCTCAAATCCAAGGTACAGGGTTGTGGCTCTCAGTTCTTTCCCTTTTAGCTGTTGTGTATGGAATTGCATGTTTGCTTTTTGAGGAAAACGCTGCCTATCTCCAGAGAGAAACTCTCCTTCCCCCACTGATGTACCCCCATGTCCCATAAAATCACCCTTTGTGACCCCACAAATTTCTCTCAGTCATTTTATCCTGCTTGAGTGTGGTGCAGCTGTGTATTTGATTGGAAGTGTGGTGAAAGGGATGGAATACTATGAGCTGAAGGTTGGCTGTTCTTTAGAGAAGTTTCTTACTCTTTAAGGACTTGGTTACTTAAAAACCAAACAACAAGCCTTCTTTTTTTATCAATATGCAGGGAACTTGCCAGTCTTGTGGAGCTGTGGGACCAAACCTCTGGGCTTGTCTTCAGGTAAAATGGCTTGTTGGTGTGCATGATGCAGTGGAAAAAGAGTGGGCAGCAAAGAAGGGGCTCACAGTAGAACTGTACACTGTTTTTTTGATGGATTCCAAGGAGGAGACTCTCCAGGTGAAAGGGTAACACTGTCACAATGTGACAAGATGTAACAGTTCAGTCCCTGTAGGGGATTGTCCTTGCTATTCCCAGTAGGAACTGGAATTCCCCAGTGGTGGTTGTTGGCTGGGTGTTGCCTCTGCTGGCACCTGTGGAGGGGCTGCAGGGTGATGCCTTGGAAGTGAGGAGGGAGGGAATCCATGGGACATTGGGGCAGGCAGGGACTGTTTATTTTGACACTGGAATGCCCAGGCTTGGGGCTGCTCAGATGAGATCCCTGTTGGGGTAATGGCCTTGGAGCAGAGACTTTGCCTGGGTGCAAAGCTGGTTCCAGGTTTTCTTTCTTAAATCACTTCTAAATTTTCATCAGTTCTAAATTTCCATCTTGTTTTGGGCCCTGAATAAAAAAAAACAGGTTAGAAAACTAGGATGATAATTCTGAAGTTGCTGCTGCTGCTCTGACTGGAGTTACAGATTGCTTTCTGAAGAGTCTAACATTGTGTGCCCATTGTGCTTTGCCTCTCTCCCCTCTCTAGATTGGTTGTGCTTATGTTGGTTGTGGGGAGTCCTTTGCTGACCACAGCACACTTCATGCACAGGTGAGCTTTTCTCTGTTCCCCACATTTAAACAGAATTGCATTTTCCCTATCCCATGTCCTGGCAGTCCTGTGCTGCAGCCCAGGCCAGCTGCCAGAGGAGATGTGCTGTTTCCTGTTCCATTTGCAGGCCAAGAAGCACAACCTGACAGTGAACCTGACCACGTTCCGTGTGTGGTGCTATGCCTGTGAGAGGGAGGTGTTCCTGGAGCAGCGCCTGGCAGCTCAGCCACCCTCAGCCCCCACAAAGTTCCCTGAGCAGGTGGGGCTGTGTCACACAGGGCAGGGCTGGGAGCCTGGCAAGCTTTTGTTTGCCTGGTGGAAAATCAGCCATGTGATTCCTGCCATGGTGTGGTGTTTGCTGTGGTGGGGATACCTTCACTGACAGTGGCTGCCTGTAGCCAGGGGACCACTAGCCCTGACTTACAGGGTGTCCCAGCAAAGAG